CCCGAGGAGGCTCAAGCCCCGCCCCCTCCTTTCGCTGGCGGGCCGCGAGCGGCCGGAGGGCTCCGGCTCGGAAGTGAGGCTGCGGCCCAGCCTGGGCTGCGTGGCAGATGGACGGACCTGCGTGCAAGATGGGCGGGCGGGAAGGAGGGACTCGGTGTTTGCCTCAAGGGTGTGTGCGTGTGTTTTAAAGGGAGCACCGCAAGGAAGCTTCCGGGTGGCTCTCTCTGCTGGGCAAGGGACACGCTTTTTGTATCCATGCATAGAAATGAGAAAAGGCAAAACTGAGAAACGTTCGGAGGGTTGGCTTGTTGTGTGAACTGGGCGTTACTGTTGTTGTTGTTCATCGCTCTCTGGTGCCAGTTCCTCAGGCACGGATGCAAACGCAGTGCTGGATGTGGCCAGCTCATTACCTGAACGGACATGGCCTGATTGTACAGTACATTGCCCCTGTACCTCTCCATACCGGCAGAGTAGCCTTTCCTGGTGATGTTTGTGGGGTTTTTTTCACACTATGGAATTTAGTGTGTCTCCCAGAAGTGGAATGGTAGACATCTGTCCTGCATCTGAGGGGCTGCTTCTTGTTGAATTTGTTTGATTGGAGTGGTTACAAAACAAACTGTTCCAGTGAAGCAGTATTTAAGTCTAGAAATATATATAGAGATTCACACACACACCAAAATTCGTGTAGTACATAGCCTTGACAATTTGAGTGAATAACTGTGTCAAGCATTAAGAATGTGCACATTCTGCACAGAGGCTTGTTCTATACAGAGTGCAGAAGGGTACTGTTGGCATAGGATGGCATGGATCACATTAGCAGAGGAACAAGTAAACACACCCCAAATGCTATGTGTGGCATTGCTGGAGCCTATAATTGTATTGCCAGAGTAGATGTAGGGATAGAGCTGGCATCTGGGTTTGTAGCAAAGTTTAGTTCCCCATCTTTCTAACTGTGTTGTGTAGTCTGTTGTGTGTCAATGACTGCCTGAGATTGGTGACAGGGTGCCTGTGAGCAAGTATGGGCCTGCCACCAAGGGCTTGTGGGAGAGAACTATTCTTGTCAAGAATGGTTTTGAGATCATTTACAATGTGTGTGAGTGGGTTGTCTCACCTGTGGGCTGAAGGTGACAAATTACCGTGATTCCCCGAAAATAAGACAGGGTCTTATATTAATTTTTGCTCCAAAAATGCATTAGGGCTTATTTTCAGGGGATGTTTTAATTTTTTCATGTACAACAATCTACAGTGGTACCTCAATTTAAGAACTTAATCCGTATTGGAACGGCGTTCGTACTTGGAAGAGTTCGTAAGTCGAGACAAACGTTTCCATAGGAATGCATTGAAAACCATTTAATCCATACCTGCTGCTTTTTCTTCATATGTTGAGGCGCTGTTCGTAGGTAGAGGCATTAGTTCCCATAGGAACTAATGCAAAGCCGGTTAATCCGTACCCTACCACTAGGGGGAGAATTTTAATTTTTTTTCTTCTTCTTTTGACCTAAGATGAGCTTAGGTCAAAAAAAGGGCTGGAAAGGGTTTTTTTTTGTTCGCGAGGCTCGCCTCACAAGTTGAAACAACATTTTGCAAATGGAGCCGTTCGTAACTCGAAACGTTTGTAAGTGGAGACGTTTGTAAGTCGAGGTACCACTGTACTTTCATTCAAATGCAGTTATGCCATCATCTTCTGGCTGCTGCACAATGGTGGAAGACGGTGTTTCACTTAACTAGGGCTAATTTTTAGGATAGGGCTTATATTACAAGTATCCTGAAAAATCATACTAGGGCTTATTTTCAGGTTAGATCTTATTTTTGGGGTAACGGGGTAGACATGGAGATGAATAAAAAAATGAATCACAATATTTGTTTAAAAATAGCTAATTTGTTTAATATAACCTTCCTTCTCTTCCTATGGGCCCTGATCAGCAGGCCCATAGGCAGATGCCACCCCCACAGCTGTCCACCCCCCTTCCCCTCCCTCCCTTGGCTGCTGCTGTCACCACCCTCCAGCCTCTGCTGCCAGGTTAGCAAGGAACAGCCTACCATGAGGAAAACAGGGCTGCCTTTTGCAAAGATGGCAGTTGCTGCTTCCCTTAAGGCGGGGAAGCCACAGTTCCCATCTTTGCAAAGGGCAACCTGGATACCTTTACAGCAAGCTGTGGTGGTGCAGACTGCCACAGTGGATGGCAGTGGTGGCTGCTGTGACACAGGCTGCAGTGGATGACAGTGAAAGCTGCCACAGCAGAGGCGGACAGGGATGGTCAGTGTAGGGAGGCAACAGGGGCAGTGAGAAGAGGGCAGGGGGGGAAGGTTTTGAGGGTGTCAGCTTTTTTTTTTAGATAGCCTTAGGCTATCTAACCCCCCGAAGAACTGATTCATGGTTTGTTGCCTCACGGACAGTAGGTTCATAGCTTGCCAACCTTGACAGACCACAAACCAGGATGAACTACCATTTTGGTAGTTCATCCCTATCTCTAGTGACAAGTGATGGTGCTTGATTGTTTTCTCTTCTGGGTCTGTCTTCCAGTATGTTGCCTCTGAGTATTCATCTTGCCTAGTTAATTTGTTCTTTTGTCATATTGAATTGATAATGTAGTCTGAGAAATGCCTTTTGTAGGTCCACAGGTTTGGAGTCTCTGTCTTGTCATCCTACCCTGTTTTCCGGAAAATAAGACCTAACATGAAAATAAGCCTTAGTATGATTTTTCAGGATGCTCGTAATATAAGCCCTATCCCAAAAGAATTCAGCCCCAGTTAAATGAAACCCAACCCTCCCCCATTGCAGCAACCAGAAGATGACATGACTGTATTTGAATAAATGTAGATTGTTGTACATGAAAAAAATAAAACATCCCCTGAAAATAACCCCTAATGCATTTTTGGAACAAAAAATTAATATAAAACCCTATCTTAGTTTTGGGGAAACACGGTAGCAGATGCAATTATATTTAAGGGTGTGGCTGTAAAAAAATAGATTCTGTGTTGTGCCCAGGATGGACGTGGGTTTTCAGTGTCTATTTTGTACCTTCACAGTGAAGCCCAGAAAGTGCACCTGTTGTGTAGATTGGTACAGGTTAAGGTTGATACTGTATTAGAATGGAAGTTATTGAATTTCTCCAGGTTTTTTTCCCATGGGTCCAAAGGATAAAAATGTACCTTTAACAGATGATGCATCAACATATGTGCATAGCCATCTTCTAGAACAACAGACCTATATTTTTCGTTGAACCTGTAAATGTGTTCTCTTCCTTGACAAGATCTGAGTGGTTCAATAGCCTCTCCAGATGTGAAGCTCAATCTTGGAGGTGTAAATGGGGAATTCAGCAAAGAGTCTACTGCAACTACATTCCTGAGACAGAGAGGATATGGCTGGCTTTTAGAAGTTGAAGATGATGACCCTGAAGATAATAAACCTCTCTTGTAAGTAAGCAGTATATAAAGAATCTTAATTTAGTTCTGCACTTGAAGCAGATTCCTTGCTTTAGAGATAAGTCTTATGTCATAATAAACAAGATTTCCCGGGAAGTTAGTTAAAATAATTTTATAATTCTTGACATACAAATAATTATTGAATAAAAAGCCTCTCCCAAATTGTTCTTTGTCCCATTCAATGTGTCTTTATGTTATAGGTAGAAATTTGTATTCTTCTAACCTGTTACTTGTCAACAGTAATTGAAATACTGAATTCAGCTAACATCTAAAAGTTAAATGTATTTACCCGAATTAAATTTGTATATGAATTATTGAGTAGAGGTTATGTACAAATGTAATGGGGAATAAAGTTTCAGTTTTTAAATCCTAGATACTCAAGAGCCATTGGCTCTCCAGGTGATATTTTTGATAGGTGATACAATACTTGTGTTTAATTTGCTTAAAGTGAACACTGTCTTCTATGAATGGAAGTTCGCTCTATTTCTGATAGGGGCAATATTGTGGGTTTCCTTTTTGTTGCCTTGTCTTTGTAGGGTTCGTACTGTAATCTTTTCTCCTGCTGGCTAAGGGCTGAGCAAGGAACCAATAGGTTCTTGCTACATAAGGCTTGGGACTGATACGGCAATCTGGTATCCAAGAAGAGTTAGCTTTGTTGTTGCACACATACACCCATAGTACATGACAACACTTCTGTATATTTGGTGGCAGCTGAGGTTGTCAGGAGCAACCGGTGATTTCTTCTTTCTGTTGTTGCAGATAATTTATTTTCATTTCATAATGGCTGTATTTGCACATACTGCTAAATCACAATTTAGCATTACCTAGATGAGCCCAAACAAGCTTGCACAAACCGTAAGGCCTCCATTCTCCTATTTCTCCCTCCATTGCAGACTGTAATTATACTTTCAAAGATTCTGGGTTTAGTGTTATGTTTAAACTAAGATCCCTAGATAAACAAATTGGTTTTGAACCAACAGAGGCTACTTTGTAAATCTATAGTTTAACACTGCCTTATTCTATAAATTAACTAAAATATATTTAATTTGGAATTCCTTGTTTGAGTCTAATGTTAAATCAAGATTCTTTTAAGACTGAACTAATTTCAGCAGAAGTTCTTTTCCCAGCTATGTGCTAAAGACAGGAAGGAAATAAACCTGATGGTTTGCTTGGGTTTATAGAGGTTTCTCAATATACTACCAATTCAGTTTGTAGTGACATGTTCCCAGAGCAATGTGACTGGAATACAGATTTGATTGAAAAAAAGGGGGGTAGTTTATCTCTTTGAGCTGTTTAGTAACTTTTGCTTCATTTTCTGGTCTGCAAACAATTTGGGAGGCATATTTTGAACATTGTCTCTTTTACATTTTCAGGGAGGAATTAGACATTGATCTGAAGGATATATACTATAAAATTCGATGTGTCTTGATGCCAATGCCTTCTCTTGGGTTTAACAGACAAGTAGTAAGAGATAATCCGGACTTCTGGGGCCCCTTGGCAGTTGTTCTCTTCTTCTCAATGATCTCATTATATGGTCAGTTCAAGGTGCGTATAGTTTTATGTTAAAAAGATAGGTGAGTTATAAACTGTCCTGCACTAAGCTTCGGTTCAAATCTATTTCTTAATTTTGAATACACATCCACATAGAAACTGAAGCAAAGAATCTGAAAAATAACTTTGGAACATACCTTTCTAAGGTTCTTTTTTTAAAAAAGGAGTTGTAATTTCCTTTTTCCTTACTACCACTGGATCCATTTTTGTTCTTGTATTACATGGCTAGTGTTTCTGATCAGAGGATTAGAGCTATAGTATTCTGCATATTTGAAAGGGAACTACTGTATTCATTCTTCCCCGCCAGCACTCCACTCCATAGTATGTAGTTCAGTAATAATGCGTTTGCCTTTAAGTTTGATATGCCTTATCCCAAGTAGAAGCAGAATGAATCTGCAAACTAAATAGTGGTGCCTCACTTAACGATTACCTTGTTAAACGACAAATCCGCTTGACAGTGAGGTTTTTGCGATCGCAAAACGATTTTAATGGGGAAAAATCGCTTTCCGATGATCGGTTCCCTGCTTCGGGAACTGATTCTTCGCTTTACGACAATCAGAAAACAGCTGATCGGCAGGTTTCAAAATGGCCACCCGCTGTTTAAAATGGCTCCCCGCTGTGCTTAGGACGGATTCCTCGCATTACAGACACCAGAAAATGGCCGCCCTATGGAGGATCTTCGCTGGACGATTAGGTATTTAGCCCATGGGAATGCATTGAGCGGTTTTCAATGCGTTTTTCCCCCCCGCTTGACAACGATTTTGCTGGAACAGATTAACATCGTCAAGTGAGGCACCACTGTATTTGGACCCTGACCCAGCTGTAGGTAGCAGTCATGCGTAATAATTAGTGCCTCTATTTTGGAATTTGCATTCCCACTTCAGTCACAGAATCTTCAGATGCACAAAGGTTTGATGGATATCCAGGGAGATGTTGGGGGCATGATTTAAATGTGGATTGCCTTCCTTTAGTTACAGTTCCACCTGCTTACAGGCCATAATGCCTACACAGGGCTGCAAATGTGGCCTTTTTATTTTTGGTCTAGTGTGTTCACTATCGTTCTGTATGAGAAGACATCTTTGACTAGTCTCTTTAACTATTTTTAAGGTGGTGTCATGGATTATAACTATTTGGATATTTGGATCTTTGACAATCTTCTTGTTAGCTAGAGTTCTTGGAGGAGAGGTAAGACACTTGTGAAAGTAAGTTTGGTCTTTGAAAGTTCAGTTTGTTTTAACTCTATATTCATACAGTATGTGCTAAACATAGTAATGTGTTATCCTATCTGAAAAAAACAGCAGTTAGGCATGGCTTTTGCTTCCATTCAGTAGTATAAAATCAGTAGCAATCTAACGATGCAGAAATTAGAAGGGATTTCATTCTTTTCTCTGACATTTACAGTGGATATTACATGACAGTGCAGGTTTACCAGGAGACAGTAGGAATTGATCAAAAAATCATAAGGTGAGATGGCAGTGTCAAAATATTGAAGATATGTTAATTCAGAAAATGACAAGTTGAAGAAAATTTTGAGGAGTCATCAGATTTTTTGAATGAAGTGTGAACAGATATTAAGCTTGCTATTGAAAAAGACTAAACTATTTACATTTCTTTCAAATTTGCAGGTTGCATATGGCCAAGTTCTTGGAGTGATTGGCTATTCTTTACTCCCTCTAATTGTAATAGCACCTGTGCTTTTGGTGGTAGGATCATTTGAAGTAGTTTCTACTCTAATAAAAGTAAGTTCAATACATGCTTGACCTGAGAAAACTGAACTTTTAAAAAATGTGCCAATTTCCCTGCAGTTTAATGCATCTTTCTTTTAGCTGATCAGTAGTTTAATTGTTCTTTGAAGAACAGGCTCTGCAATCCAGAGTCAAATTATGACTTTGGATACTGCTTTGTTGGTTATGGGACACTTACACATGAATACCAAGTTTGTAGCAGACTTAAGTTCAGACAGCCAAACAAAACATGGGGTTCGTATTATAAATCATATTTTTGCTATTGCCCTACTTCAGACCTACATATATTGGCTCACTAAGCCAAGAGATGCAGGAGTCTTGTGTCCATGCACACATTTTCCCTCCACTTACCTTTTCAGCCCATTGTAATTGACACAGGAAGCCTCCAATTAAATCAGCTTTGTGTTTATACTCAAACTGGGAAATTATGGCTAGAGGAACTGAAACCAACAGCCTGACTTCCTGAATTTGTAAACGCATTTCCTTGGTTTGATTAACTTCAGTAGACCAAGGTTTTAAGTAATTATGCTTAATAAGAACCCATTACAAATGTTACTCCATTTGAAATGGGAGTGGGCATGCTGCTTCCTATAACATCACATCCTGTTTTTTATCTTTGTCAGCTTTTTGGAGTCTTTTGGGCCGCATACAGTGCTGCTTCCTTACTAGTTGGAGAAGAATTTAAAACGAAGAAGCCCCTCCTGATATATCCTATCTTTCTATTGTACATTTATTTTTTGTCCTTGTATACTGGGGCATGACCTGCAGTGCTGAATTTGGACCTGGGAAATTTTTTTTCACTACAAAGACTGATGAAATGTTGCTTGATGGAAAAGAGTTTCAGTGGTAATCTAAGTATTTTGGTGTATATTATTTAAGCACTTTTAGTTCCATTTGAGATTTAAAGGAGAGTTTTAGGTTTAAGCTTTGTTAGATTTTTATTGAACAAAGATGAGAACATTGTGTGTTTACAACTTGAAATTGTGGAGTAACAGCTTGTCGCCTATGTCAAAAACACAAGGACCACATAATAAATTGAATTAAAATTCCAATTACTGGTAAAAGTTTGATTTACCCAGCAAATTGTGTAAATATAGTTACAGACTGTTCATGAAAACATGGCATTTAATGTGGTGCCTTGAACACTTGATTTGGCTGTTGAGTTGCTGTAAATTCTGAATTTTGAAAATATTTTCATGCTGATCGCTCATTCTTAATAGGGTATATTTATAGACTGCATAGCAATTTGAAGATATGAGTGTTTGAATTAGACCTCAGTTTTAGACTATGTTGCAGGAAGACGTCATTCTATTATGCTTATTTTGAAATTCCTGCAAAAATGGTTGCTTGATGTTTTTTTCTACCTATGGCTTTATGATAGTGGTAAGTGGGGAAAAATGTTTAAATTAACCTTTCTGAAGAATGTCTTACAATGGAATAAACAATTGTTTCTCAAACTGTATTTGGCTTTACAACATATTCTGCTGATTTGATCCAACACTGATCAGCGTAGGGGCGTTTGCGAATTTTTTGGACCATGAAATTATACTATTTAACTCCTAGACAGTTTGTAACACCTTAGAGGCTAAAAAATTATAGCATGAGCTGTCATGGACTGTTACCCATGTCATTCGATGCACAGTGTTTAACCAGAATTTCAGGTATGCATATTGTATATATCTGTCTATATTGTATGATGCTTGGGACAACATGACATATCTTAATCTGTTTATTGGAACAACCCATGCATAAAAACTTTCCATGTGAAGTGATGAATCCAGTTACGAACACTTCGGAATCAAACCTTTCCACTGAAAAAATCAGCATGTGTTCAATATGTAGAGACAGTTTTCAGAATCATGCATGATGAAGTGGCTTCCTATCTGGCATTCAGTGACTATTAGAGATGGACACTTACTGCGGTTTGGTGCAGTGTGGAGGACTGGGCGTGCAGGTGTTGTGCAAGCGCCCGTCAGAAACAGTGCTGCAGGCTTCCCCACCCTACCTCTTCCTCTGAGTGGGCACTCGGAGGAAGAGGCAGGGCATGGAATCCAGGGCTCCCATGCAACACCTGTGGCCCTTAGCCTCTGAACAGCGCCAAACCACTGAACTGTGGTAAAGGCCCATCTCTAGTGACTACAACATGGCATTTAACAAGGAAAATCAATTGGCATATACAGTGGTGCCTCGCATAGCGATCGCTCCGTATAGCAATGAAATCGCTTTGCGATGGACTTTTTCCCATTGCAAGAGCGATAGCTTTGCGATGGCCCCTATGGGGAAATTTCACTTTGCGATGATGATCATCGCAAAGCCCCATTTTCGGCCAGCTGATCGGTGGTTCCAAAATGGCCCCCGGAAAAACAAAATGGCTGTTCGCTGTTTTGCCTAGCTTTAGAGGCACCGAAAATGGCCGCCGCAATGGAGGATTTTCACACAACTCCTACTTAAGTTTTAGATGTTGCCAATGCATGTGTAACCATTTAATAGATAGTAGATGGCTTCAAGTCTGTTTTCTGACTTCACTGTAGATACATTTGGATGCAAGGTATTAGTATGAGTATCTGTATTGATGGGAGCAATAAAAGTACAGTGGTGCCTTGCTTAACGAGCGCCCCGTTTAACGACGAATCCGCATAGCGATTTGTTTGCGATCACATTGCGATCTTTTTAATGGCAAAAAATTGCTTTGCGATGATCGGTAAGCTGTTTTGCTTACCGATTTTCACATAGGGATGTTTTAAAAACAGCTGATCGGCAGTTCCAAAATGGCCGCCGGAAAAAAATGGCCACCCGCTGTGTTTTTGCGCCCATTCCTTGCTTACCGGGGAGCAAAAATGGCGGCCGTATGGAGGATTTTCGCTTAAAGGTGAGTTTTTGCCCATAGGAACACATTAAATAGGTTTTAATGCATTCCTATGGGCTTTTTTATTTTGCATAGCGACGAATCAGGATAGCGACAATTTTTCCGGAAAGGATTATCATCACTACGCGGGGCACCACTGTAGTATCTATATGCCTTTGGGCAATCACTGAACATACTTCAAAATAATTTACTGTGTTTATTATCTCTAGCTCAACAGCTATTGTTGCTTTCTTAAGCATTCATTTTAGAAGATTAAAGTATGCATCAGAGGTATATATTTGAACTTAAAACCATTTGTTCTACAAATGAGGAGAAGTGCATAACACTTAAGAGTGAAATACCTTTTTGCACATGATGCACAAAGAAAACTATCACTGAATGGTTTCCACAACTTGTTTTGTAATACATTTGATTCCTATTTTTAAACTAAGCTTATATGTAAATATAGTAAGTGTATTTTATAAAAATTTGGAATTAAACTTGTTTGCAGAATACATATAAACCTTATTTATACTGTCAAAGGGATAAGAATGAGCATTTCATATGTGTAACTATGTTTCTAAGAATGTAAATAAATTTCTAGGATTATTGAAAATATACATTTTTGTCATGTGGAAAGATAATATTTCTGTTTCTAATCAATTTAAATCAGTTTTTGGAAATGGACCTCTTTTCTCTGCCCAAGGACATGGATCAGAGGTACACAGAGAAACAACATTACATAAGCTATTGTGGGTATGAATAAGTAGTCTAAACAAAGAGTTAGAACCTTTGAATAGGTTTGTGAATTGGGAACATACTGTATATGGAAGAGTGCTAGTCAACCAAATAGGCTTGCTGAGTGCCAATTCAGAGAATTTGGATAAGTGTTTTTTTAAAAAGGTTCCCACCCCTGTGGTTACAGTTTGTTCACAGCATACAGCAAATTCTGTAGTTATTTGTTAAATGCCTACCACTGCTTCCTGAAAAGGGAATGGTTTCTGCTACATGCTTTTAAAAATTGGAAGTTGTTATATCTTGTTATTTAGAACAGTGGTCCCCAACCTTGGACCAGGTGGGGGATGCGCCTGCAGGGGGGCGGAGCTCAAGGTGCAGATGTGCTCAGAGGGGGTGGTTGGGCACAAGTGCGCCCAGTGGTGGAATATGCTCACGCAGTGGCACTTGCGAGGGGCACCGCATGCACATGCACACAGTGAGTGCAGGGAGCACTCGGGGGGTAGGAGATCTGTGTCCGCGGCCCAGTCCCGGATAGGCTGCGGACCGCTGCTGGGTTGGGGACCTCTGATTTAGAACAGTGGTCCCTAACTGTGGGCCAGTTCTGGTGGGGGTCCTGCTCGCAGGGATGTAGCATGGTTGCACGCATGCTTGAAGGGCCCCCGCTCTCATGTATGGACACAGCACGCTCGCAGGAAGTGGAGCACACTCGTGCATGCTCTCAGCGGTGCTTGCAGGGGCGCTCACATGCAGCACACACACGGGGTGGAGCACTCACGTGCAGCAGTGCTCACAGGGAGGCGCTCACGCATAGCGTGCTTGCAGGGAGCGGAATGCGCTTGTGGGGGGCAGGAGATCTATGTCCACAGCCTGGTCCTGCCTAGGCTGCAGACTGCTGCCGGGTCGCGGACTGGGCATTGGGGACCCCTGATTTCGAATACACATGGCCTTAAAACTACTTAAAGAAGGTGAAGAAATATTTCTTACACCACTAACTCACAAACAGGCAAGTTCTACAGGACTCTTTATTCTGGATTACAGAGTTTGGGGTTGCCAAAACAAAAACAAAAACCCAAGAGTCTCCAGAATCATCATGTGCGATTGGAGGAGGCTGCCTGGTAAGAAAAGGTGCTGTTTTCTGTTTTTTAAAAACTGTTCTGGGTATTTTTGCAGTGTGGTTTTGGGGTGGGAGGTTATGTTTCTGTGCTGTGCTGGGACTTGGGGGTTTTGTTTTTTTGTTTCCCCCCATTTCTGATGGGTCTTGGGGGGTATGGATGCTCTTTGGAGTGTTTTTTTCCCATTTCCAATGGGTCTTGGGGGGGTTGTTTCCCCCCATTTCTGATGGGTCTTGGCGGGTTTGGTTGCTTTTGGGTCCCCCCCCATTTCTGATGGGTCTTGCATGCTTCCCTTGCTTTTTGCTTTGTGCTCTTTACATACTCCCTTTGTTCTCTTTGCATTTCCAATCTGCTCCCTTTGTTCTGTTTGCATTTCCGATGGGTCTTGCACGCTTGATTGCTTCCCTCCCTCCCTTCGGCCGGAAGGGATTAATCGTATTTCCAATGGGTTTTGCAGTGATTTTTTTTTGTAATTTTTTTCTTCAGCCAGAACAGATTAATTGCATTTCAGTGCATTCCAATGGGAAATGGTGCTCAAGTTCCAGCCATCTTCCGGAACCAGTTAAGTTCATAAGTCGAGGCACCATTGTAAAATTAAAATGCAAAAATAGATGATACCTTTCTAGACCTCTAAAACTTAAAAACTTTGGACTTTTTAGTTCTTCACAGTACTACAATCCTGATGTTTTTAATCCACAAAAGCTTGATTTATTGTATGATGATTTTTAGTGGTCTATAAAGATATTGCCTGTTTTTGCAATTACCATAGATTTGACAATAATACAGTGTCACTGACCAGATCAGACGTCTTCAGGAATGGACATAACTGGTGCCCTTGTTTCAATTGTGTTAATGCACTTCTGGCCACCACCAAAACGTGGGCATCCAGGTTCAGAGACACATCCAGGAGCACCCTCAAGCTGTGCACCTCAGAGACAGAGTGCAATCCCATCCAGCACAGGCTGCATCCTTATTCTTTGATGTGCATTTCAACTAAACAGGAGCATCTCTGTCTTGTCTGGATTAAGTTTCAGTTTATTCACCCTCACCCAGTCTATTACTGCTACCAGACAGTGATTTAGAGTCAACACAGCTTCCCTAGATTTCAATGGCAAGAAGAGACAGAGTTGGGTGTCATCCCCAAAACTCCAGACAATGTTTCCCAGTGGTTTCACATTGGTGTTAAATAACAGAGAACCTGGAAAGACCTCACAGGCCAATGGCCAGGGTGTCGAACATGAATCCCCCAGCATCAACTTCTGAGTTCTCCCCTCCAAGAAAAACTGGAGCCACCAGAAAATAGTGCCACCAAGTCCCATCTCAGACAGCTAGGCCAGATTACCATCAAGCAGCTCCTGCCACTTACATTGCTCATAAATTCATATAGCTACAGATTCCACAAAATAACAGTACTTTCTTATCCATATGAAACTTAAATATATTGGAACTTTTTTATTACTCTAGCAATAGGGAAAAGACAGATGTTGAGAGACAAGGGAGAACATGATACAGTGGAAAATTCTTGATTCCAAGCTCAATTTGGTTTATTTACTGAAACAAGTAACCTTAATGGTTTGCTCATTGTTGATTTAAATTCACATTTTCTCAGTACAGTATACCATAACCACTTGGCAAACTATGAATGAGAACTGGATTGACAAAGTACAATGGTGGGTTTTTTGTTTGTTTGGTTTGTTTGACAACATGGCCGGAAACAGTAACGCACTGCTCCTGCTAAGCTTTACAGCACACAAAGTCTACTTGGCTGACTCAGTTACTCAGGTCAAGGCACCAGACTGCTGTAGCTCATTCATACGCCTTACTTCTACACAATACTGGAACTATCTCTCAGCAGAAGCGCTTACAACTGCACAGAAGGTCCAGTTTTTCCCAATTAAGTCTTTGGAAGTCTCCAGTATGGTAATTTTTTTAAAGCAAGGAAATAAAACTAGATCACAGGTTCCTCACCCACTTTCCTCGTCAAAACCAATGCACTCGATAAATAAGAAATGTGAGGAAAACATGGTAAGGGAACAAAATCATTACCAAACGCGGTAATTATTATCTATATAACTTGCCCGCTTTGTGTTCTGGGCGATCCCAGCTCAGGATCCCTCTCCAGCTGTGAAAATAGATATACAGGGCTCGTATCTCTGCTCTGTGTTTCCGAGCGGCTTCGAAGCTGGGCTGTATTTACAGTCACTGGGAATTTTTATTGCCGGAGGCCATTCAAAACCATCGCGATGACTCAGACATTAAAGGCTGGAGCCACGCCGAGCCCGGATAAACGTGCAGGAAATTAGCACTTCCTCAAGGAAAGAGACGGTAACCTTGGTTCAGCCTAACCGTCGCCTGCCCACCTTCCCAGTTCGTTACATCGTCAAAGACCCGTGCCGCTCCCTGCTTTAACCAAGGCGGGGGGGAACCGAAGCCGAGACACACCCGTGAGGCTTCTGACAACTCCCAGAATGCTTCACCGGCGGCCATGCTGGCTGGGGCTTCTGGGAGTTGAAGTCCAAAATATGGGCGAAGCGAAAGTTTCCCCGCTGCCGCGCAGAGGCGACGCAAGCACCGCCGGCTAGAGCCAGTGTTTGTTTTACGGCGAGGGGCTTGCAGGGACACGCGGCGTACGCGGTGGGCGTAGCTTCCTGAGCGAGTGACGTCATCAGGAAACCCTCCCTCCGCCTTCCTCGGCCACTCAGCGGAAGGGTTTTTTTAAAACAACAATTCCTTTAACGCTTTCGTTCCAAACCGGCGCTCGACGTCGTGAACCAGGCTTTCTTTCGTCGGCCTTCCGTATCCGGCGTCTATCCGTCACTTCCTGCGGACGCTCGGCGATCTCTCCCTTTCTCTCTTTACCCCCCTCTCCCCTCCCCCTTTCTCCGGACCCGGATGCTGACTGGCGGCGGCAGCGGCGGCGGCTCCTCTCGGGACTGTCAGTGAGCGGCTCCGCCGGGCCTCTTGTCCTGTGAGATGGCGGAGGAGGAGGAGGCCGGGGGAGCGTCTTGTTCCTCGGCTCCGGGGCCCGCGGCGACCGGGCCCGGGCCAGGCCTCTGCGAATGGCTGCTGCTGCGGGACGGTTGCCTGCGTTGCGACGCCGACGGGCTCTGCAGCCTCTGTTACCACCCGGCTCTTAACGCCATCCTGGCCGTGACCGCCCGCGGCGCCATCAAAGTCATCGACGGCACCTCAGGGGCTACGCTGCAGGCGTCGGCGCTCAACGGTGAGGCCGGCCGAGGCCTAACCCTGGGGCCCGGTAGTCGTCGGGTGGTGAGGGCGGGGAGGAGGAGGAGGTCAAGGCAGCCATGAGCCCGGCGCGGCCGCAATGGGGGAGGCGACCCCGAACCCGCTCGGTCCCTTCCTTGGCGGGGGTGGTGAATGTGGCCGTTGGGTTCTGGGGCCTGGACGTCGCGCCCTGGACTCCACGGCCGCGACCGTGAGCGCGTTTCTTCTGGTCCTTCCCTCCCTCCCTCCTCATCCCTCGGGCGCAAAAAACGCCGCCTCCTTCCTTATGTTTGAGTCGGGGAGGACGGCAGGTGAGGTGAAGCCGGAGCCCCACGAAGGGCTCTGGGCCCGGCCCTGGGCTGGCGAAGGACGTCGATGGAGCCGGGGAGGCTCCAGGGGCTCGTCGTCGCCGTCTGCCGGGCCTTCCCCAGAGTTTTGCCCGGGCTGAGCTTACTTTTTCTTTTCTGCCACCGCTCGTTATAAAGCCGGGAATGTCCTCCTGCTGTTTCTCAGGGGTTTCTAAAGTCAGGGCCTGCGCCCGTTGGAGGGAGGGAAGAAGAGCACTTGGCTTTACGGAAAGAGGGAGTCGCTGGAGCCAGAGAGAGCCCTTCGTTGCAAATACTGTAGTGTAAATTCTATGTGGTTCTGTACACACCAGCATTGTTTGACAGTGACCATGTATATGTCTTGGGAAGTTGCGATGAGCCATTGTTTCCCATGGGATTTCTGTATGGCAAAACATGAGATGGAGAGTTGCACATAACCTGCGTTTGGATTGTGTGCTGGTAATACAGAAAGTGTGTCTATGTAGAAGTTGGGACAGATCTTCAGAACTAAACTTGGCTAGACTTGTGTGTAGTCTTGTGTTAGAAGGTGGCAATATTAAATGTATGGGAAAGATGGGGCACTGAGCTGTATCTGCTACATTAGCTGGTGTATTTAAGCCAGATTTCTAGGATTCAAAAAATGTTACTTGCGCAGAATAGGTCAAGTCTATGTGATACTGAAAACAACTATAGTTTTCAAAGTGGTAGCCTTGTGAGTCTGTGCAAGCATATCAACAAGAAACAGAAAACAAAAGCAAAAAAGAAATAAAGAAAGAAGACAAAGACTTTAAGGATTAACTGCTTTATTTTAATGTGAACTTTACTGGACAAGCCCACTTCTTCAGACATAAGAATTAAAAGATAACTGTCTTTAAGATGACACAACGGCTTAATCTCTCCTTTTCTTGCTTTTGTTTTTGTTTTGTGTTTTTTGCTGATATGAAAACAAATATATGGAGGTATTAGGAAGTGGAGTGGTGAATGTTACTGCCTTTGATATTTGTAAGTTTATATTTTTACAAAACTTATATAAATTTCTGAGAGATAACTTTTTCAGAAGCATATTTTATTTTATCTGTGTACCGCATTTTATTACGGTTAGAAGTATGTTGTCTTTGAGGTAGAATAGGATAAAGTTATAAAAGTTAAAACTGTAAAGTCCCTAAAAGATCAAAAAATGAACAAAATGACCAGAAATGCAAACATTTTTGAAGGAAAGTAATTGAAAAAAACTGGCCAATATCCTATTATTAGTCCTAACTACAGTAGACCAGTTGAATAGTGTGATGCATGGAAGGCTTGATCTGCCATTCAGAAATTGATTCAGTGGGTCTACTCTCTGTTTGATACTAGCAATAGGATTTTGGCCTATAAGTTGTTATTCTATAAAAAGTGGTATGGTCCAATGGATCGGGTTGGGTTCCTGTTCAGTTTTATTATTTTGGATGTAAGTAAGATGTACATACAAACTTTCTTCTCTGCTTAAAGATAATTGAACTTTTAGGTTTCATACTGAGCTGCATGTTTATGTTTTTCCTAATATTTGCACAGATGAGTGGTTGACAATATGTGGTTCTCCAGGATGGGGACACCCTACTAATAGCATATTAAACATAATGGCCTTGAGTTTCTGTTTTGTCAGTCAAGGTCTAGGCTGGGCAGTTGTGCTATGAATTTGAGTTCAAGGTCCACCTTCTTTGATGAACACAGTTGTCATTTGATTGATGGACTGGATCATGAGCTAAAAAAAGCCAGAATGACCTCTGCCTCCAGATGTTGCACTGCAGTTCTCATCAGTCCTAGTAGCATATGTAGTGGTGAGGTGATGGAAGATGTCCTCCCGAAATATCTGGAGATAAACATACTGGCTGTGCTTGTCTTGTAATCATTCCTCGATGAGCCATGTTTGTTCATTATGTGCATTAAACATTTTTTTTGTTAGTAGATTTACTGGCTCATTAAAAAAAAAACCTGTTAATATGCTATCAGTGCTAAAAAAGAAACACCCAAAGCTCAACTTGAGTTTGTATTTTGTATAATACACCAAACTGCGAGTGGTTTGTATAACAAAATAGCTTCATAACTAAATTAACAATCTTGTGACAGCTAATAATGTTATTGTGTTTACTGTAGTCAGCCTTTATTATTTGGGCTCAAGTTGCTTGAAACCTATGGCAAATATGAGTTAGTAATCTCTGAAATCATTTACAGTCTTGTTCAGGTCTTGTAGACATAAGTCTGTGGTTTCCTTTATTGATACAGTCCATTACATGTTTGATTTTCATCTTTCCTTGCTGCCTTAAAGTTTTCCCAGAACTATTTTTCCCCCAATAACTCTTGAGTTGTCATGGTGTATCTGAAGGGTGCCCCTGTTAATCAATTCAGACTTATCTTTGTAACAGTCCAGACTGACAGGGTAGCATGAATCAGGTTTTCTTTTATCTACAGTAGTTTCCTAGCTAACGTAACTGGCTGCTAACACTCCCATGTCTGAAGTAGACTTGTCCACAAAAGCTCATATTAAAATATGGCAGTTAGTCTTTAAAATGCCACAGCGTTTTTGTCTTTATTTTTTATTTTTGTTTTGCTTTTGCCTGACATGCTAACTATTAACAGTAATTGATTAGCTTCCAGAGTTCATTGAGGGGTGAATTGGATTACACTTGTGATTTTAGGAGATGACCTGAGCAGAGAGAAGAAATCTTCTTGGGTCACTTAGTGAAGTATGGATGCTTGGACAGAAAGAAGTTTCTTTCTTGTGCCTATGAAGGTATTGTGAAGATATTGACTTCACAGCTGTTGAAGCTGAATTTTGCTAGATCTTAAAATATTATAGCACAGCATAATAATTATGAATATTAACATCACTTGATATTTTCACTGGAACTGGTATATTTTTTACCAGGTGTTATGAGCAAGTTGAATTTTGAGGCTGGGATGCTGACATATTAGACAGCTAGGTATTTCCAAGGCATAGCAGGTAATCATGTAGATGTTCTTTGTTAGAAAAGTAAGTCTTACAGTACCATAAAAACTAATAAGTCTTAATTGCAATAATCTTCTGTAGACAGCTTTTTAAAGATATTTAAATCAATAAAGAAAGATACAGTAAAATACAGCTATCATTTTTTCAGATTTTTTATCAGAAACATTTTTACAGAGAAGTAAAGACAAAAAGTAAACTGAAACTGAATGCAGACAAGCTGAATTGTTACTTTTGGTTTCTTGGTTGCTAGACTTTATTTGAACACATTTTATCAGTGATATATCAGATTGTAATTGGAACCCTTCTGGATAACAGTTGCAGGCCTACTATTTTTCAGGTTTCTATAATCTTGGTGATTAACTACCGTATTTTTTGCACCATAAGACGCACTTCTTTCCCACAAAATAGGGGGGTGGAAAGTCTGTGCGTCTTATGGAGCGAAAAATACGGTACTTTGCCAGAGCCTCCTTTTTGGTGGTACATTTGGTCTAGTTTGTATCAGCTCTACTGGTATAGAGTGACAGCCCTGTGAAAAAGGCAAACTTATCTGGTAGAATTGCTGACGCTTTCTTACTTGTAAATCTAGTATTTTGTGTTGTACATACTTTCCCAGTGTATTGTAGCAAGTTTCTGATGATTTTAATGTGTTTTGGGGCAAAGTTTTTTATGATATTTTAAAGTTGTGATGGTAATAGACTAGTTAAAAATTGGATTGGTTGATGAGTCAAGGAAGGTGATCCTTTTAAACTGAGTTAAAGAGAAACTAGATGTGGGTTGACCACAGGAGCTGCAGAAGAGGAGAAAGCACTAGTAGTGAGTATAGTCTCCCTTATCAAATGTAGCTGAGGGATGAGGAATCTTATTAATGACTTGCGGAATAAAGTGTAGTATAACAAGAATAATCTGGACACTTCTCCTGCACACTGATTGTTCTCTTGACCTGGAGAAAAAAGAATGGGATTTCCATTGACTTTGTGCTAAGCTTTGGAAGCCTGAACTTTAAATGTCAAAAGATAAGATCCTCTTCCTTTAGTGAATGAGTCAAAGTTCTGGATTTGCTCCTGTTGTTAAGATGTATATAGTATTTCTTAATGTAATAGTATACCAGAGGATAATCTAAAAACCAATCTGCTGATTAAAGCAGGGTTTCAAAAATGTCCTAATTGATTAATAAATCTTTTAAATTGTTCAGTCATATTAAAAATAGGATACAGTGGTTTAATTTCATAGCTTATAAATTTGGAATCTTGGGGGCTAGTTATTCTGTTTTCTCCTATTAAAGTTTATTGTATGTTGTAATACTTTGTTTAATAGCCATATTAAGAGAGATAGGATGCAAACATATGAATAAGCAAGGAAATCTGTCCAGAGCTCAGTTGCACTCAGTTGTGCTTCCTTCATATAAAATGTTCTAAGACAACAGTTGCCCTGGATCCGCCTGCCAAAGCGCCAGCGCTGGCTACAGCCGCCTCCTGAGGTTTGGCGGGGGGGGGAGTAGCGATCTGGCAACCTATAGCTCGCGTGCCAGCAGAAAGTGTGCCAGCTGTGGCATGCGTGCCATAGGTTCGCCATTGCTGATTCCCTCTAGTGACCAGTCCTGCTAATACATCTTGGTTTTTTAAAAATTTAGTACTTTTTTCCCGAAAATAAGACCTAACCGGAAAATAACCCTCGTATGATTTTTCAGGATGCTCGTAATATAAGCCCTACCCCCAAAATAAGCCCTAGTTAAGTGAAACTCTGCCCTGCACCATTGTGCAACAACCAGAAGATGACATGAATGTATTTGAATAAATGTAGATTGTTGTACATGAAAAAAATAAAACATCCTCTGAAAATAAGTCCTAATGCATTTTTGGAGTAAAAATTAATATAAGACCCTGTCTTATTTTGGGGGAAACACGGTACCTTCAATCAGCAGATAAGTGAAACAGCAGGTACTAATCCCAGGGGTACGGTCCTGCTGTATATTACAGTTGATGCGTTAGTCATTTGAAGACTTCACAGATTAATGCCACAGTGTGAATGAATGGAAGATAGGTGTGCTAACAAGGATCTGAAGCTGTCATGAATTTTAAACTAAATACATAATATTTTAAGTTAGCATATTTATATGCCATTTCAGATTAAGTTTAATGACAAAACAGTCCCAAAACAGAAAGAAAAGTACTGTAAATTGAATTGGTTGGCGTTCACAGACTAGTTTTACTAGCACCCCTCCACGCACCAAAATATAATGGTTTAAGTAATTTGAGATGCAATTAGAGTAAGCACAACTAAGCCAGAAGGAAGAGCAAGCAAATTAGGTGACCATATTGCACTGATTAAGATAACAAATGAGAGGGAAGACAAGTTGTAAAGGAGTTTAGTCCTTCACAGCATCTGTCTGCGCTTCTTTAAGCAAGGTCAACTGGTCACTTGACACTGAGAGTAGATAATGAAAAATTCTTAAGAAATAGTAGATATATAATACTTGATGTAAATGAAAACATTTTGCAAGGCATTTTTGTAAGAGTTTTTTTCTGTGAAATTTCTAAAAGGTTTTATGGAATTATTGAAATAAAATAGTAATATGAATACAGTTTACGACTACTTGAATCATGAATGGCAAGCCTGTGTCAGAAGGATGACTCAAATAGCATGGCAGAAAGCTTTTGGAGACTGAAAGCGGAATCCCATCTCTATTTAAATTTATGTCAAGAATCATTGTGAACCTGCACAACAGTGTGGCTACCATGGGTGGTGTGCCCTCCTCTCCTCTTTTGAAAGAGGAAGGCAAACAAGACAAGTGGAGACATTGGAAAAAGGACTGAGTCAACTGTGTTTGAAAAACCCAAGAAGGAACCCACTAACAGAGGGAGAGGTTCAGGCAGGAGAGAAAGGATAAAAGGGGTGAAGAGAGGAAAGGAAAAAGTTTGTTTGTTTGTTTATTTATTTATTTATTTATATGCCGCCCACACTACCCAAGGTCTCTCAGTTGAAGGCAGAAGGTTGTTGGAGTCATTGGGAAGCTGATGATGGAAAGTCAGAGACATACTGGGTTGAGATAGTGAAGGATGACCCTTGGACAGGCGAATAGATCTCACTAAAAGTGCCTGAGGAAGTGGCAGGAAGGGCGTGGAAAGAACAAGTATACTATTGGGGTCAAAGAGAAGAAGGAGAGGGAGTTAAGGAATCAAGAGGCAAACAACCAAGCAAATAGAACATGTTCTGAACCCCCTGCTAAGCCTGTAGGAAGAGTCCATTCTGACCAAGTGTGCGGCCAGCCTTGAAACGGAAGGTACTGAAGCCCTTTGGAAGTTGGATCTAGTACCAGGAATCATAGATTCCCCCTGATGTGAAGTCCTCAGGAAGTCAACCTGAATGGGAGTTTTATAATGACAGTTCTACACTTGTGCAAGTTCTCAGGGTCTTGTTAGCTGTTGATCCAGAAATGTCTCCTGCAAAACCTCTGAAGGAAGAGGGATAGGCACTGAAGTATTAGAAATGTTTAAAATAAAAGATTACAAGTTACCTGAAGGTAATGTGTGTTCATCATCCATTGTGGGGCATGGAAAGGAGGAAGTTGGGGGTCCTGGACTGAGTCACAATCATGCATAGTGTTTTATGTATTTTTCTTCAATGGCAGCCATTATTTGTACTTCATGACAGAATGTTTCTCAAGTTGTGCTGAGTCTAGGTGTTTATTGTCAGGCATCATATTCTTGGAAGGAGCAAACATGGCAACAAAGAGTCATACAGAATTATTTGAACTGTGTCCCATGGAATTTCTCTTTCACCTTGGTGGTGAACTGTGACCCTTAAGCTTGATTGAAATCTTTATTTGGATAACTTGAAATTAATTAGTTTTGATTATAGAAAGGCTGGGTGCTTATTCTCTTCAGCAGTAATAGGATATAACAGACAACTGTTTCAACATTGTTCTCACCTCCCTCTTCTTCCCCCACTTCCTTTTTACAGCTAAGCCAGGTGGACGGGTAAAATGTCAGTATATTTCTGCTGTGGATAAAGTCGTCTTCGTGGATGATTATGCTGTTGGCTGTAGGAAAGATTTGAATGGCATCTTGTTGTTGGACACAGCTCTGCAAACCCCAGTCTCTAAGCAGGATGATGTGGTTCATCTTGAACTGCCAGTGACAGAGGTAAGCAGCTGGAGCTATTGGTATTACTCTAGGGCAGTGTTTCCTAACCTGTAGGTCAGGACTCCCAAGGGGGTCACAAAGTGTTTTCTGGGAAGTTCAGCACAATTATTTTAGACCGTGGTCATGTTGGGGAACAGCCAGTGGCAGCAGCAAAGGCTCCCCCTCTCTCTCAGGGCCAGTTCCCTCCTCCATGGAAGCAGCATCAGCAAAGCAGCAGGTAGAAATCACCAGAGAAAGAGGAGGTGGCAACAGCTGGCCAAAACCTCACAAGAAGCAGGCAAAGGGAGACTTTGCTGTGACTTCTTATGTGCAGCAGTGATTGAGCTCCACCTCTTTATGCATGAGGGGAGGAGTTGCCTAGTGGGGTCCTTTTTATATAAATCTGGCAGGGAATCGCAAGTTACCTGGCTATTATAAAACAGGGTCATGAAAAAGGTTGGGAAACACTGCTCTAGGGCTTTTTCTTGGAGTCCTCATTTTGTTTGAATGTATGCCTAATGGTTAACATATAACAAATGCCTATATTAAAGTAGTACTCAGCAGGTAAGTTCTTTAAAGTTTGTTGAAGTATTGTTGATGCTGCTAGAGGGATGAAGAGTGCTGTCACACCTCATTTGTGTCTAAGCATTATTTGCATGCCTTGGTAATCTTTCAACTAGATTATTATAATGGATTGTACTCGAAGTTGTCTGTGGGACAGTTGAAAAATGAAGATTTTGTTCAGGATGTAGCAGTAATACTGACAGTTGTGAGCTTCACTGGAAGTGACTTATGCCTTAGAACTGCCTGGATTTAGTGTTTGTGAAGTGTGAATATCACTTAATTTTTCCTACTTTAAATTTGTGCTAGCATCTGTAAAGCTTTGCTGAGTCCTTGTGCTGTAAAAAAGAAGTGTGTTTGGAGGGGTGAGGGTTAGGTAGATAGATTATAACATTCTTCATGCCTTATACTAAAATGTACAAAATAATGCTAAAGGAAGATGAATTTTCAATGTTATCTGGAATTTAATAACTTCCTTTACATTCCGTAGGCTCAACAACTGTTATCTGCTTGCATAGAAAAGGTGGATGTGTCAAGCACAGAGGGATATGATTTGTTTCTCGCACAACTGAAAGATGGCTTAAAAAATACCTCACATGAAACAGCAGCAAACCACAAAGTTGCAAAGGTAACAAAAACAAATTCTATTTATCCTGGGAGAATGGTATTTTGGCTATTTAACTTATGTTGAAGATTGTTTAAAGGTTTTTCTTTGCATGTGTAAGTTAGTTATGTGCCTCCTAACTTGATTTTCTTCCTGGTTACGCATATTTTACTTTTCAAAATTATTTTATTTTATGAAGCATTTGGCAGAAGACTGCCTCAAAGAGCAAAATAAATGAACTTGAATAACTTAAGTAAATGCTACAATGGCATGTAAGGGGTGAAATATACTTTTAATCCCATTCCTGCTCTTTATCACATGATAGGGTTCTGTGTGATTGAAAGCCTGTTTCCATTCCTTACATAGGAGCTGTTGCTGGCCTGCAGCTCAACCACCCCTCCAGTTTCTGTCTGTGGTAGTGTTTTGGTGGGTTCTGCCACCCTCCCCAGCTATGCTACCTTTCCAGTTGTTCTGTATTAAATACAGTGGACCCTCTACTTACGGAATTAATCCGTATTGGAATGGTGTCTGCAAGTCGAAAAGTCTGTAGGTCGAATCTCCATTGACCTACAATGCATTGAAAACCGATTAATCCCATAACCGGCGGTTTTTATTCTATTTTTGTTCCATTTTGGGTTTTTTCTGGTCTGTAAGTTGATTCTCCGGCTGCAAGTCGAATCTAAATTTTGCAGCCAGAGAAGTCTGTAACTCGAAAAGTCTGTAAGTCGAGCCGTCTGTAAGTCGAGGGTCCATTGTAAAAGTATGAACAGAGGACCAGCTACACTCTTGTGTACTCTTCTATATTTTAGAATGGCTTATTTTCCAGTTATGCTTAATGTTTCCATTCAGAGTTCATCTCTAAGGTACTAGCCTATTGTTGTTGAAATACAAACTGTTTTCTAATGACAGTTAGATAAAAACAAGTAACCTTGTTTTAAGTCTTGGATATATCCACTGGTTTACATTAGTCTTATATTTTGGAGAGCAACTTCTTTCTTTCAAGGGCCACCATAAAGATTCATACATTGGTTTAATTAGTGAAATTACTTCGTTTTCAGCCTTTCTCTGTTTATTTCCCCAGACCTAAGGGTGAGGGAATATAGACATAAAAAAGGGCTGTGCAAAATATATAGAACTGGGGAAATCACAAGCAGGGTTTTCCTTGTGCAGCAAAGCTTTTGTGCTCTCCATACTACTGCAGCTATTTTGAACCAGCCTGAAAGCTGCCATGAAATGTTAGGGATTTTGTTGTTTAGTTGATAAGTCGTGTCTGACTCTTCGTGACCCCATGGGCCAGAGCATGCCAGGCCCTCCTGTCTTCCACTGCCTCCCAAAGTTTGGTCTAATTCATGTTGGTAGCTTCGATGACACTGTCCAACCATCTCATCCTCTGTCGTCCCCTTCTCCTCTTGCTCTCACTCTTTCCCAACGTCAGGGTCTTTTCCAGGGAGTCTTCTCATGAGATGTCCAAAGAATTGAAGCCTCAGCTTCAGGATCTGTCCAGTGAGCACTCAGGGTTGGTTTCCTGGGATAAATGTTAGGGATAAACAGTATCATGTCCTGCTTGTGAGAATCTGGAAATCAGGCAGGTCCTTCCCTCATCATAAGATACATATCAGTTGTAGTCATTTTTCAAGACCTAGTCTGTTTTCTAGGTATAGTTCAAGGTTTTTGATGTGGTATATAAAACTTCAATAGATCTGTTGAGTTGCCATCTCTTATGGCTGTCTTCCCTTCACACCCAGATCCTGGGATTGTTTCTGTTTGAATTCTCTACATCGATGAATTTCAAGGACCACCAAAACTTGTCAGTATTTTGAGTTATTGTGTTTGCATAGTATAGTACAAAGTAAAGAACAGAGCATCTTGCATTTATTCTAGTATTACTGCAAGAATAAAGAAATCAAAGCTTTTGTCAAAATTTGTAGTGAAATAGCATACACCGATGAGTATTCTAAGCTTTTTATTTATTTATTTATTTTTATTTATTTTTATTTATATTTTTTATTATGGAATCTGTGTACTATTATTGGAGGCTTCTTCAATGTGACTTTACTGAAAGTGATGCTATTTCTTCCTACAGTGGGCAACAGTAACGTTCCATCTTCCTCATCATGTACTGAAGTCTGTCGCCAGTGCCATTGTAAATGAACTCAAGAAGATAAATCAAAATATTGCTGCCTTACCTGTAGCTTCATCTGTAATGGATAGATTGTCTTACCTCTTGCCCAGTGCACGACCTGAGCTTGGTGTGGGGCCTGGCCGATCAGTAGATAGGTATGGGAAGAAATGCTTTATGTGTTCAAAATGTTTTTTAGTCTGTTCATTTGTTTGGAAGTTTTCCAGACAAATGTTGAAAGGTGTCTGAATTGAAGAAATAGTATAAGGTGTGAGGGCTTAACAGTTGCAGAATGGCATTTATACTCTTTATCTTGGGCTGGGTTTGGTGAAGCAGTGGGAGCAAAATGCCTGATTCTAAGGAATGAAATAGTGGAGGAATATTTTCAAAAAGTACAGATTGGGTTTATGTACTCATCTGTTGCATTCATTATGGCAGCCCTGAACAACTTGTAATCCTTAGTCACAGTACACTTACTAAGGATGTATTGTAGTGCCGAATGGCTACCAGTAGGGGATGGGATTTTTGGATTTTCTGAAGTACAAATACAATAATTCTGCATTCTGGGAGTTCTGCCTACCTTATATTGCTTTACAAATACCTGAATGTAATGAACCTGGGAGAAAGGCCTAAATTACAAGGCTTTGATGATTAGCTAGGCCAGGCATCCTGTTCATTGCATAGTGTTAGTGCTAAGATTGGATGTGGCAGATCACAATTGTGTGGGTTTGCTTTGTGATGTTTCTGGTGGAAAAACTGGGGAGAGTGCTGCACAGCTGCATTTAAGAAAGAGATAAAATTCAGATCACCATGAGATTTTCCTTTATGCTGCTGCAAGATGGTCAGCTGTAATGTTTGGATGTTTCATCTTGATTGTGGTTGACATGATTGGTACTAATCTACTGCTTATGAGAGTGGTATATGAAAATTGAATAGTAATGGCCATTAGAAAACAGAATTTCTCACAGGTTCTTAGTCATTGGAACAAGGATAGCAGTCCCAGACCATCCTCAGGGACAGTGTTTCTGATATATTGGAACAGAAGCAAGGAGGATGTTGTAGATGGAAGGATTCCTGTGATATTGCAGAAGAGGAGGAATGTAAGTTAGCAGGTAACTCTCTACCAAGGGGAGTAGAAACAGAAGCTTACAGCCTGATAGTGTATCTTGGAAAGCTTGCTATATCTCTGGTGCAAAGATCCACTGTGTAACAGAGAGCTTGAAAAGGTTTGTCAAGCCCATTGACCATTTCCCCTTTCTTGTAATTACATGGGAACAAATGATGCTGCCAAACAACCCTCAGAGTATAATGAGAGTGTGAGGCTCTAGAAAGGGAAGGGAATGTCCTAGAAACAGACAATTTTCCTGTCATGCCTGTCAAAGTTTATGATCAAGAAGAAAGAAAAGAATACTGAAAGTGAACAACTAGTGTCATTAGGAAAAGTTTCATTTTTGGACAACAGTCTATGTTTCCATGAGGAAGGGTTGTTGGCAGGTGATGAGTTGCCTGTTACATAAACTGGGAAGAGTTTTTGCTCTGAGTCTTGCAAATAAGATCAAAGGACTTTAAATTGAATCAGTTTAAACTTTAAACAGAGCAGAGATATTATATTCCAAAGGACAGGGGACAGCAAGTATTGGAGAGAGATTGTTATTGATTCATCAGAAAATGGCACATTAAAGCAGGAACCCATCAGTAGGTAAAAAAGACAGTAAGATAGTAGTTGGAGGGAATCATTCATAGTTCTAGATGTCTGTAACAATACATGGGAAGCAAACAAGATGAGCTTAAACTCTGCACACAGGAAGGTATGTGTGATGTAACAGGCATGGAAAACTGGTGGAATGAGATTCATGACTGTAGCAATTGGAGGTTATAGCTTATTCAGAAAGAATAGGCTGAACAGGAAAGAAAATATTATTTTGTGTAAAGAATGAGTACAACTGTGAAAAGATTCATGAATTTAAGCATAGAATGCTGGTTAGAAAGCACTTGAATAAAAATCAACAGAAAGCTAGAGAGAGAGAAACAACAGTTTCACTGCAGGGAACTGCTGCAGGCATCCTGCCCAGACTGAATGATTTGAATGGCACCCTTCTAGATGAGATAATAAAACACTGGAAGGAGAGAAACATGGAGAAATTTTTGACTATTCTGATATCCATTGGAAATCCAACTCTAACACAAATGTAAGAACCAACAAATTGCTCACCTGCTTTGCAGACAACTTTATATTTCAGAGAATGGAAGAAAAGACATAGAAATCTTACCTTGACCTTTTCCTTATAAATGGGGATTAACGAGTTTGTGAGGTGGAAGTAGTAGGAACTTTGGCTAGAAGTAGCTATATCATCTTGGGATTTGTTATACTGAAGAAAGGAAAAGCTGAAAGTGGTATAATGCACATTCTGTACGCTGATTTCAGTAAGTTTAAGGAACTACTGGATGAGATCACATGGTCAAAAATACTCAAAGAGAATCCACAATGAATGAGAGTTTTTTAAAGCTGAAGCCACATCATGAATAATTTCTATGAGGAAGAACAGTAGGAGATATTTAAAGAAACTGGAGTGGCTGTATAAGGAGCTTTCAGATGAGTTGAGACTGGAAAGGAAAATGTATAGAAGAAGGAAAGAGGGGCAGATTATCAAGGAAAAATACAAAAAATAGCCAGTATTTGTGGAGATAAAGTACAGAGGGCTGAAATTCAAAATAAGCTCAGCTGGCAAGAAAGGTAAAAAGAAATTACTATAAAGTATTTTTCAGTTATGACTGGAACAAGAGGAAGAAATAGGAATGGTGGGGCCGTTAAGTGGAGAGAATGGAACAATTGTGCTCTGTGACAAAGTGAAAGCAGAAACACCTGCTTTGCATCTGTCTTCTCCCAAAAGGAAAACTTCATTTAATCTAATACACATACAGGATGATGTGAGGGTAAAGAAATGGTACAGAAACATCTAGCTAAAGACTGGAGAAGGGCAAATGCCATCGTCTTCAAAAGGGGTGTGACAGAGGGGATCAACTACAGTGGTGCCTCGCATAGCGATCGCTCCGTATAGCAATGAAATCGTTTTGCGATGGAGTTTTTGCCATCGCAAAAGCGATTGCTTTGCGATGGTCCCTATGGGGAAATTTCGCTTTGCGATGATCGAAGGGAAGCGATCATCGCAAAGCCTTCATTTTCGGCCAGCTGATTGGCGGTTTCAAAATGGCCGCCGGGTAAACAAAATGGCTGCCTGCTGTGTTTCCTCACTTAAGAGGTACTGAAAATGGCCGCCCCTATGGAGAATCTTCGCTTAAAGGTGAGTTTTTAGCTCATAGGAACGCATTAATCGCGTTTTAATGCGTTTCTATGGGCTTTTTATTTTCGCTTAGCGATGTTATCGCATAGCAGCAATTTTTTCTGCACAGATTAACATCGCTAAGCGAGGCACCATTGTATTTATTTGTTTGGTTTCTATACTGCCAATCTGGCTAGAAGTCCACTCTGGGTGGTTTGCATTCTACTGCCTGACCAACATGGCATCAATACTAGGAAAGGTTTTAGAACAGATCGTTGAATAGTTAGTGTATGAGTGCTTAGAAAGGAAATGGATGTGAGCTGTAAGTAAAGGGTGCTTTTTTTCCTTGTTTGTAGAGTGATAAGTTGCAAAAATTATGGAGCCCCTGCTGATCTCTTAACTGGCCTGTTTCTTTTATTTTCAAAGATCATTAATGTATAGTGAGGCAAATAGACGGGAAACATTCACCTCATGGCCTCATGTAGGTTATAGGTGGGCACAACCAGATCCCATGGCTCAAGCTGGATTTTACCATCAGGTAAAAATATTGATATATTTTATTAATTGTAACATTGTAGATCAGAGTAATAAGTTCATGCATTCCTCCCATTTGTACAGGAAGCTGATCTACCCTGGTGACTATGGAAATTTTTACCCCATCTCCTTTTTCCTTCTCATGGACATGGAGAGAAATGTTCATGATTTTGAGGCTTCCTCTGCCTTCTAATTTAAATTTTAAAAAAATCAATTTAATCCTGTTAAATTGGCCTATAAACTGGCCAAAATCTAACTGCCAAGCCTCCATAGAGTGGTTTTCCTTGTCAGTTCTCCTTCATGCACTCAAGTGTGTGATCAGTGCCGTGCTGGATTTTGCAATCACTGCATCCTTGGGTACAGAACAGAGAGACTCCTGGAGGGAGGAAAAACTTGTGTGGTTGCCCCTACATTATTGCTTAAGTAAGCAGAATCCTAGTCACTGTCTATAAAATGTAACTCTGCTTATGTTCAGATGCCTTTACAAGAGAGCTCATGAAAGAAATGAAAATATTGTTGTGAAATGACTGCTATATGCACTAGCAAGCCCCTCAGTCACATTTCTCCCAGACACACATCTCAGCATGTGTACACATACATCATGCTTCTCCCTCTGTAACACCTCAGAATGCAGAGATGAGAGGTTTAATGGCCTGCTGGGATCTAAGGGTCACTGATGAGGGATGGAGATGAGAGCACTGATTTCCTGCTTCTGGTAGCAGTCTGTAAACAGCAGTCTCCGGTAGAAAAGCAGTCTTGGCAGCAGAATTGCTGTTCCAGCACTATTAATAAGAGTGCCAGAGTAGCTCCCCCCCCCAAAAAAACTATCCAGCTGAACAGTAGAATGGCAAGGGAAAATGAATGGGGGTCAGAATCGGAGTGGCCAGAGGGGTGTATCTAGTCTGTGAGCAGTGGATTGTACACCCTGCTCTATGCCACTGTGCATGAAGTTAAGTCTACCTTGGATGTATTGGGGTTGTTGTCATCTTATACTGGATGATTGAAATTAATGAGAGTTTTAACAGGTTCTTACAACTAAGTATTTTGCCTCCCCACACCCACTCCCCTGTTCCCATAGCCTGCCTCATCAGGAGATGACAGAGCCATGTGTTTTACGTGTAGTGTGTGTTTGGTGTGCTGGGAACCAACAGATGAACCTTGGTAAGTTGTAATATGGAAATAGTTGTGTATTACTTTGTGTTCTGAACACAATGTTTCAAGGAAGAACGTTTGTTTGGCCTAGGTATAATAACTTTGTTCTTGAAGCAATTCTACTTTGGATCCAGGGCAAGTAAAAAGCTCAAAATATAGAAGAGTATAGTGATATTGATCAATTATGAGATTATCTCAAATTAGGCAACCTCCAAAAAAGTTTCCAAATTCAGGGTGCTAGAATGTCAAGGGATTAAACAGTTGCTGTCCATGATAACTGGAAAATGAATAGTTAAGAATATTAGTTAAGACTGAATGATCTCTCAGGTAAAGTTGCTTTGAAGTATTTTGTGTATTTATAATTAAAAGTGTGTATATGTAATGCAGAGCAAAGTGTGCAGCTTATATACTGCCACATAGGGCTTAAAGCATTCTTTGGGTGGTTTACAATTTATTATGCAGGTTAAACATTGGGCTCTCCCTCTCAGTGAGCTGGATACTTTAGAAGGATAGAAGGTTGAGTTAACCTCGAACTGGCTAACTAAGCCTGGAATCAAATTCAGGTTGTGAGCAGAATCTCCACTGTTGTACTGCAGCTTAAACACTGTGTCACAAGCAGTCCCTGATTTAAATTTTTTATATGAATAAAAGCCTTTTTTTACCAGCAGTTCTTTCTCAGTGATTCCTGTAGTTCAGTTTAAAACACTAGAGGAAATAATATTCTCTCAGACAACTGCTTCCAGACAACTGGTTGGATCCAAGTGTTGCAGAAGGAAAGAGGTAGTCAGTTTTTACTGATCACCTTTCAATTCCCTCTGATATCTCCTATGCTGTTCCAGAAGATCTGCCAGCCTCATAGGGCAGTTTTTCAGTAGGAGTGTCTGTGATCCAGCTCTTTGCTTTTTTTTTTATTTTTTTACCTTTTTGAGTAATATTAGTTTTTCAGTAGGAGTGTCTGTGATCCAGTTCTTTGCTTTTTTTTTTTTTTACCTTTTTGAGTAATATTCTCATCTTGCATCCTAATAAGCCAAACACTCTAACCTGTATGCAGAACAACTAATGAGAAAACTAACACTCCTGGATTTTAATACTTACTTTTCTAATCCATCAAGGTCCGAACATGAAAGACATTCCCCCAACTGCCCATTTGTGAAAGGTGAACACACGCAGAATGTGCCCCTCTCGGTCACACTGGCAACTAGTCCAGCACAGTTTCCCTGTACAGATGGCACAGACAGGATAGTCTGCTTTGGATCTGGAAGCTGCCCTCACTTTTTAGCTGCTGCAACAAAACGAGGAAAGATCTGTATATGGGATGTTTCAAAACTTATGAAGGTATTTTGTCACTAAGATTTCTGGTACAAATGTTATGATGTATGAATTGATGTGTACATTTAATTTCATTTTTATATTTGCTTAGGTGCACTTAAAATTTGAGGTCAATGCTTATGATTCAGTAATTGTACAACAGCTTGTGTTGTCTGGAGAGCAGAGCTCAGGGGTGGACTCAAGGAGACCAACAATTGCATGGATAGAAGATTCATCAAGCTGTTCAGATATACCAAAATTAGAAGGAGACAGGTATGCCATTTAACACTTTATCTTAGCACTGGATGTGCGTATAAGAAAACTAAATGATTGATGGAGTAGTCATTTGTATGACACTAAGCATGTGTGATGGAATATTGAAATGATAATTTTTGAAGTCTAGTGAAGGAAGAGCTTTCATTTTTACCTGTAATTTTAACTATAGTTTTGTGAAGGAGAAATAAATATGGAGTGTAGACTAGTGCTCTGTGTGTAATACGTTTGAAGTACGTATTATACGCAAAATATATTTGAGACAACTGCCTGGAAAAGGGGAGATCGATGAACAGTTCCTCTGTTTTTCTGTCTTGCTACACTCTTGTATGATACTTCTTTATTTTCTTACTTAGCATATAGTGTCCAGATGTTTGATGACACTTTGTCCACTACTTAGCTCAGTCTTTCTCTGAATCGTTCTTGCCTGTGTTTTTTATCTCCTTACTCAAAAACAGTAACATACTAGCTCTGCAAAATGTCTCAGTTGTTCGATTGTTGAGAATCTTTTCCTCATCCCTTGAAAGCTTGGCAGAGATTGGTCATCAGTAATCTGGAAAACATTTTAAAATAAATTTAAATCTTATTTAATAACAACTGTGAGGAATAATTCACAAATCAGATTGTTCTTCCTGTTTGATCTTAAGGAAATTAGGTGGTAATCTTTGTACAGTATATGATTTGTAGTGCAGCCATAAATGGGAGTGCAAGTAGAAAATAATAGTGTGCACTGTAGCTCCTTACATGCCAAGTGTAAATATTTAGTCACATTTTGAAAGGGAGTTTGTATGTTACTCTTTCTACAATTTTTTTGAGGACTTTAGGTTTAGAGCAGGGGTCCCCAGCCCCTGGTCTGCAGCCCAGTGCTGGTCCATGGCCTAGGTCAGACCAGGTTGTGGAGACATATCTCCCATCCTCTGCATGCAGTCCCCCCCCCGCATAGCATGAGTGCCCACAAGCGCCCCTGCCCTTCGCAAATGTCCATGCGAGCACTCCCACTCATGCACGATGTCACGGGAGTGTGTGCCCCGCCTTCCCCACCCGGTCCGTGAAGTTATAAAGGTTGGGGACCACTGGTTTAGAGGATATTTAGAGGTTTCGTTTTGTTCTCCCTGCATGTACCTTAGTGCAAAATGATTTCTAAAGCACTCAATTTGTAAAAATCTTTTTCCTTTGTTTAATGCCTTTGTTTGGAGCTATAGATTTTAGTTTGCAGTAAGCCAGAATTTCCTGGATTGGACATAGTGAAGAACTCTAAAGATAAGCTTAATGCAAGCTGGGATACTTGAGTTGGAGCTGCTGTGTGACAGGAGGAGGGAGAAATAAAGGAGAATTTAATGTTCACAGGGCTCATCTATGGTTGCTTATCTGAATGTGGCCACCATGACCCAATCAATACAGTGGACCCTGTACTTATGGAATTAATCTGTGTTGGAACTTTGCAGGTCGAAAAGTCTGTAGGTCGAGTCTCCATTGACCTACAATGCTTTGAAAACTGATTAATCCCGTAACCAGCCATTTTGTTCCATTTTGGTTTTTTCTGGTCTGTAGGTCGATTCTCTGGCTGCAAGTCGAACCTAAATTTTGTGGCCAGAGAAGTCTGTAACTCGAAAAGTCTGTAAGTCGAGGGTCCACTGTGTAGAGAATCCTCCCAACCAAAGTTTGGAAGGCATGGGCTGCATATTCCCTTTTTCACCATCTAAGCAACAGTTTGAGGAGAGCTTTCATGTGCTAACTATATTTTGCAAACTCGGGCAGCAAGGCAAATTATGGTTAGTGCTCAGCTAAAAAAACTGAAAAAGAAGTGAGATAGTGTGTGAACCAATGGCTCATTTCTGGTCCTCTAAACCAGTGATTCTCAACCTTGGGTAACCCAGGTGTCCTTGGACTGCAACTCCCAAAAGATCAGACCAGCACAGCTCATGGTGAAGGTTTTTGGGAATTGCAGTCCAAGAACATGAGTTACTGAGGGTTGGGAACCACTGCTCTAAATCAATGGTTCCCAATCTTGGGTTCCCAGAAGCTTTGGGTTAAACTCCTAGAAGCTTTCACCACTAGTTGTGCTGGCCAGGATTTTTGAGAGTTGTAGTCCAAGAACATCTGTAGACCGAAGGTTGGGAAACAGTGCTCTAAACCAGTTGTCCCCAACTTTTTCAGAACCTTGGACTGGTTGTGGGGGCAGGGTCCATGCGCGGTGGGCATGCTTTTGGGTGGGTGTGGCACATTTGGGGATGGCTGTGGCACACGAGCGAGGTGCACTTGCAGGTGGGCATGGCACGCTCATGCACATGCGCGGATGGGTGGTGTGCGGTTGCAGGTGAGTGGACGGCACATGCGCGTGTGCACACCGCACCACCTGCAAATGCGCACCAAGCCCATCGGGGGGGAGATCTGTCTCTGTGACCCTTTCCAGCGAAGCCGACGGACTGGCACTGGGCCACGAACCGGGGGTGGGGGCTCCTGCTCTAAACCATGTTTTAGAGGAGGAGCCACAGCTGGCAGTCAGATATCACATATGCTAAAACACCTCTGACAAGCTTTGCCCGTCTTTCCGCCCACATGAGGAGACTGGCAGCTCTTCTGTGTTGCAGAGAAGGGGGCATCCTCATCATACATGATTTGTTTTTCTTGCCTGATTCGTAAGGAAGGGAATTAGTGTTGAGTGGTCATATTCAGGCTGAACATTTGATAACTCTTGTGTGACAGTCTGCTGATATGTGGTTTTAAGTTTCTTCTCAAGGAATGCAACCCTTGAGGAGAAAACAATGTCTTCTCCTGGCTTACAGAATCACCTGAATTGAGCCAGAGAGTGGATTTGAAATTTCAGAGAATTCTAAGTCTTAGTACATTGAATCCCTTGGTCATCAGTGGCTTGTTAAACACGTGACTTTTTGTAGTTTGCTTCCTGACAACCTTTCTCAAGGTATCAGATGCTTCTAAACTTTACACAAATTATTGTTTTACATTATAGTGTAACTTTGGTTTCAAAGTACTGTACTTCTTATCTTTGTCTTGCTTTTAGTGATGATTTACTGGAGGATTCGGACAGTGAAGAGCATTCCAGATCAGAATCAGTGACTGGTACGTACATGGTGTTTTTAGTGAACAGTGTGGAATATGAGATTGACAACAATGTTTTGAGGACACTTAAAGCAAAGAAGAGCTAATGTGTATATTCTGCTCTGAGTCTTAAAATGTTTTAGTTTGCATTTAACAAATTGTGATATATAAAATTAGATTGTGAGTTAAGTTCTGATGAAGCATATGATGAAGCATATGCTTTATTCCTTATTTTTTCTCCTTTCTGCCATGATCATTTGAACTGTGAAAGAGAAGTCTCCAGTGTTGACCAAAGGATACTTTTTTCACAGCCTTGGTTGACTGACTGGAGGCTAGTTTTTGCTTGCTGTTCTCTGAGGCTAATGTATACTGCAGCCTTCATTAGTCTGTGGGGTAGGGGGATGACAGAATCAGTCGAATTTTTCTGTATTTCCAGAGCATGGATTCTCTACTATTGGCAGAAAAGAAATCTGTCTAACTCTCATTATTATTTAGACCCATAGGATACCTTGCATGTATATTCCACAGAGTGGTTCATAGAATAATCAAGTTGGAAGAAGCCTATAAGGCCATCAAGTCCAGCCTCTTTCTCAGTGCAGGAATCCAAACCAAATCAAACATTAGTCCTACCTAAAGCATTGGCCCATTGAAACCTACTGGACTTGCTTTGGGTAGTCTGCCTGGGTTGACAGACTGGAGTCCACATGGGCACACACCATTTTGTAATTTCCTGCCACCTGGCGGGGGAATATGGTCCCAGGGCTAGGCCAGAGCCTGCCCCATCGCCTTCAAGGGGATCCCTTAAATTCCAGGGACTGCAGGCACTCCTGGAGTCTGTTAACACCACCGAGATCCATTCCAGTGCCCCAGCCCGCCAGAGAAAGTTGTGCCAAAATTCTACAAGTAGCTATACCATGAATAAAATTTTCCTCACCCATGCATCACCCATGTAGCTTAACACAACTAAATACAATAACAAATGAGGGGTGGGGGAGCAGAATGGCTGGGGAGCCACAGTGGCTCCTGTTTTAAGCCAGGAGGCACGTTAGAGTGAAAATAATATTGCTCCAGCCCAAGGTCTTTTCATTTGAAATCTGTCTGGGGCCAATGGGAAGCAGTTGCATCACCATACCTTCCCATCAACTCCTATGCCCAGCCATCCACGGCTCGGCACCATTTTTGGGGAGCCCCCATGTCACCCGTGCTACCAACCCTGGCTTCCCGTCCAACCAAGAACGAGGAGCCTGGTAAGTTGAAGCCCCCTTTTAAAAAGTAGTGTGCACTTTGCTGGCCAGAAAGGCAAGGAGAACTGAAGTGTGTGACTTGAGAAAGGAGCACATGATAACTTCCAGCAGATCATTTGCCATTGCATGTGAACTAGCCCTGTGGTCCAATTCAGACAGACAGTAGCAAATATATTTATCCTTACACATACTGACTGAGCAAAACTGTAAACCTGAACACTAAAACCCAATAGTTATTTTTGTAACTACTGTGTATTTTTATGCAGTCTGGAGAACAGTACACACATTATCCCAACATTTGAAAACATAACCTTTATCCTTGTGGATTAACAGTTGTAGCATATGGGTATAACCAGGTTGGAGTGTACGTACTGTTGAGTGCACATTTGGTGGCATATCTGAATTTGATGTTAATTAATTTGTGAAACACGTATTATTGGTGCTGCTTAGACGTAAGGGTATTTATATACGAAAAGGAATATCATCGCACAGCTGGAGTTAATGAGGGACAGGCCCCTAGGGCCCAACCATCCACTCATGCATGCAGCAGCGTATACAAATACTCCCATCTCTAGTGCCGATTTTGTTTTGACCATTCCTTAATTGACTGGGGGTGCCAAATATTTATAGATTTTTTTATAGTCTCAGAAATGTTGATACCTGTTTTTCTAATGCAGTTTGCTTTATCCTTAAGGACATACATCACAAAAGGAAACCTTGGAAGTGAGCCTTGATATAACAGCTCTCAGTATTCTTCAGCAGCCGGAAAAACTTCAGTGGGAAATCGTTGCAAATGTACTTGAAGATACAGTGAAAGATTTAGAAGAACTTGGGGCAAATCCTTGCTTAACTAACTGTAAAAGTGAAAAGATGAAGGAAAAGCATCTGGAACATCATAACATTCCCTTTCCTTGTTTGTTAGCTGGAGGTTTATTAACATACAAATCACCTGCTACCTCTCCTGTTAGTAGTAATTCTCAGCGGTCACTGGATGATTTAAGCAGGACTCAAGGTGGTAGTGTATCAGACCAGGGATCAACAGACAATGAATCCTCTACTAATTCAGAACTGAATTCTCCTCTGGTAAGGAGGACTGCACCTATATTGTTGCTTTACAGCATCAAGGAATCTGATGAAAAAGCAGGAAAAATCTTTTCGCAGATGAACAATATCATGAGTAAAAGTTTACACGATGATGGTTTTACAGTTCCACAGATCATAGAGATGGAGCTGGACAGTCAGGAGCAACTGCTCTTGCAGGATCCTCCTGTGACGTACATTCAGCAGTTTGCAGATGCAACTGCTAGCCTAGCTTCTCCAGACTCTGACAAGTGGAATTCTATGGTTCCCAAACCTGGGACTTTGGTTCAGTGCCTACGACTGCCAAAGTTTGCAGAGGAGGAGAACTTTTGTGTTGATTCAATCACACCTTGTGCAGATGGAGTTCATTTGCTAATAGGACTGCGGGCATGCCCTGTTGAATCCCTGAGTGCAATAAATCAAGTAGAGGCCTTGAATAATTTAAATAAATTAAACTCGGCACTATGTAACAGAAGGAAGGGGGAAATAGAATCCAACCTTGCTGTAGTGAATGGCGCAAATATCAGTATGATTCAGCATGAGTCACCAGCAGATGTGCAGACGCCTTTAATAATTCAACCAGAACAAAGGAGTGCTAGTGGTGGTTACCTAGTACTTTACAAAATGAACTATGCCACTAGGATTGTGACTCTAGAAGAGGAGCCCATAAGAATCCAGCATATCAAAGACCCCCAGGATACTATTACCTCATTGATTTTGCTCCCACCAGACATACTGGATAATCGAGAAGATGACTGTGAGGAACCTGCAGAGGAGATACAAATAACTTCTAAAAATGGCAGCGAGCGAGAGAAAAGATCAGAAATCTGTACTCTTGGGCATCTTGTCATAACCACTCAGGGAGGATATGTAAAAATATTAGATCTTTCAAACTTTGAAATTTTAGCCAAAGTGGAACCACCTAAAAAGGAGGGTACTGAAGAACCAGATAAATTTGTCTCTGTAATATACTGCTCGGGCACTGATAGACTGTGTGCATGCACCAAAGGTAAGGTCTTGATTTCATTCTACTATCAAACGTATAATGCCGGGAGATGCTACATTCTTCTCATACATATCACTCCTTCCCATATTGTTCAGAATGCCTATTAAAAGACTTTGTTAGTACTGAGATTAGAGCAAACTGTTTTTGCTGACCGTGACCAGGGATCTAAACCACAGTTTGAGCTTCCATATGTAAAACTGCTGGATGCTTGCTTGCTTTCATTTTCTGTTTGCTCAACAGTCTGGAACTTGGAGGAAATGCTGAAGCAGTCATTTAACAATTCATGAAACCTTTACTGTGTTTTGATTTCTGTAGAGTGTGTTGTAAATTGCTTCTGAAATTTGCTTTAATATAAACATAGGTTTTGCTGCATCATATTCTGCATCTTTTCAAGATAGGAAGAAGAAGCAAATATTCATAACACCCTTCTGGATCTCAACATTAAGCTCCCTCTGTTTGTTGCCTTCTTTGACAAGGTCTTTTGAGGTCTTGTTCACATTCATGTGTGCTAGTTCTTTTCTGACCTTTACAATGCTGGGATTTGTTATTCCTCAAATGTTTGTTGAATTAATTAATTCGCTCAGAAGGAGGGAATTCAGAATTAAGTTTTTTGTTTTTTAAATAGGTACTACGCTGCAGAGACAGAGGTTTGAAATTCAAACTCCCACTGTGCATGCTAGGAGAACCAGCCTTTGTGGCCTTGGACAAGCGGCACATTCCCAAGATGCCCCCAGAAGAAAGGAATGATAAACCTCTGCTGAGTACTCTGTACCTAAAGAAATTCTGAAAAGGGTTGCCAGAAGTCAGAATTGACTTGATAGCACACAATTATTATTACATATTCATTATACCCAGAATATACAATATACATGTATGTTATGTGGGTGCCTTTATCCCACACAGTATTTTATATAGAAAAATAATTTTCCTCCTCCTCAAGCAGCCTTAGTTCAGTGGTGGGCATCTTTGTCAAGTCCAGGACCCCTTTTTGCTCTTCCGCCATGCCTTGGCAGACCTCCCCAGCCAACTACCCCATGCCAAAAATGCATGAATTACCAGTTATGCCAAGTTTCGATGAGTTATTTGTGCACTTTTGTCAGTTTTTTAAAGGCTCATGTATTACTGTTCTATGCAGTTGATTCAACTTACTCTGATTCTTTCCAGGGTATTTTAGGTATACAGTACATAGTACAGTGGACCCTCAACCTACGGAATTAATCTGTATTGGAACAGTGGCCGCAGGTCGAAAAGTCCGTAGGTCAAGGGTCCATTTCCCATAGGAATGCATTGAAAACCCTGTAATCCGTAACTGGCTCAAGAACCACCCCACTTAAAAAAATTAAAATAAAGACAGCATACCTGTCCAAAATCTTCCACGGGTCCCCCGCTGCTGCCATTGGCATTGCAGGAGGCCTCTGAGGGCTTCCCCGCTGCTGCTGGAGGCCTCTCGGAGATCCCCCGCCCCTGCCGACACAGGCTTTCCCAGGGTGGACCGGGCCAACCAGGGGAGCGCTTCCCCCGGTAGGCCTGGTCTACTGCCCGGGAAAGTCTGGCAGACTGGGCCTACCAGGGGAGGGCTTCCCCCAGGCTTTCCCAGGGAGTAGACCGGGCCTACTGGGGGAAACCCTCCCCTGATAGGCCCGGTCCACCCTGGAAAAGCCTGCCTTGGCGGGGGACCTTCAAGAGGCCTTCCCAGCTGCCATGGGAGGCCTCTCGGAATTCCCCCCCGCCGCCGATAGCGCCCCCAAAGACCAAGGCCGGGTGGGGGGGGGGGGGGGACCTCCGAGAGGCCTCCCACGGCGGTGGAGAAGCTAGAAGGCATCCGGAGGCACAATTGGCGGCCTACAGACGGGAATGGGGAGGCGGGGGAAACGCCAAATTTGAAATTGGCACTTTCCCCACCTCCCCCTTCTGATCCGTAGGTCAATTCTCCGGCCACAAGTCGATTGGAAATCTTGTGGCTGGGGAAGTCCGTACCTCATAAAGTATGCACATCGAGCCGTGCGTACATCGAGGGTCCACTGTAGTTTACTATTCCTTTCTTCTGAAGTTCTCTGGACCTGTGCAGCTTGCCCAAGGCTACAACGGGCTGGCTCTTCTCCTGGGAGGCGCAGCAGGGAATTAACTCCTGACCTCTAGCTCCACAGCCAGGTAGCCTTTTTAAAAAAAATACACGAAATGAGCAGTAAATTGCTGAGATTTTTTTTAAAGGCTAAGGAAAGCTGGGGGTGATACAGTTAAAATAACCAGTTACATCACGAGAGGCTTCTGTGCTAGTCATTTTTATGCCTGTCCCCATAATATAATAGAGGATTACTGGGGTAGGATTTGATAGAGGCCTAGATCATCTGCATAGAGCCAAATGATTGCAATTTGCCCACCCCGCTTTAGATGCAGACAAGGAAAAAGATAGTGAAAGGAAATGTGGGCCATATGGGTAATATTTTGCTCAGTGAACTGAGAGGAAGAGAGAAAATAATTTATGTAGATAGGATTTTGAAGGTAAAACACATACTGCATTTTTTGTAGTTTGAGTTTTTCTTAATTTCTTTTTATAT